ACCAAAAACAAAACTGTTAAGAATAGATGTGACTTAATAAATAAAACTTAATTTAGAACAATATACAATTTTGCCACTCTACAGAGTGTCTTAAACTTATGGTAAAAAACATCTTTTTGTTTAAACCTGTATATTATAAACGTACGTCTATTTTTTAGTATTTTTTTAAAATGTGAGCGATTGTCCATTAATTTATCTACAATATTCTTTAATATTAGTTTAAATCCGACATAAAATAAAAAAGTTATTTGCGATTGAAATTCATCGAAAATTTGTGTGGATCGATTATTTTGCACGTGAGTGTATATACCAATATAAAGCCTATTTATTTCTGAATTTAATACAAAAAAACAAGCTTTAAGTCAATTATTACGGTCACAAATTAATTTTGATTAGAAAAGTAGGTACCATTCCAGACCACCATAAGACGTCGCGTCACAAGCGCGTACAGCGTACACGGTTCGGAGCGTGAGCGGCCACCGCGGTGCACCCACAAAAGGACGAATAACTTTTTGTCAACCTGCGGGCCATTTTTTTTCTCAGCAGAATAATTTCGAGAAATGATTGGAGTATATGTGTTTTTTTTTCGAGTCGATAGCTGGCGCAGAAGCCAATTATTTCCGAATTTGGTATAAAAAAAAACAAAAAAAAATCGACCTAAATGAAAATTGGACAATTGAAAAAAATAACAAAGAATCTATGTCAAAACAAGATTCCAACGCTAGTTATATAGTTGGAATCGGATAATTAGTTCAGCCATAATGAATTTTTTTATTTTTTAATTATTAAAAACTTTGACTTTTAATATCATGAATGAATGAATGAATGAATGAAAGGTGGCCCGTTTGAGAAATTCTGACCCACCTATTAACCCAACTTTAGTATAAATGTAACACAATGTTTCTCTCTGTAATTGTCTTTATGTCCGGTTATATTATTAATGTAAAAATGAAATTATCAACCATGTGCTTTTGGACCAATTGTTTCTTAATAAAATGGCTTTACTTGGCTACTTGCAAATTTAACAAGACTGTTATTTTTTTTCCTTTTAAAAATAGTTCCTCGTCTAGAACAACCACTATAATAATTATTAATTAATAATTGTTGTTCCTTTATATTTTATATATCATTTATATTTACAATTTTGCAATTATTCTTTGCATTTAATCAATGCATGTTCGACAAGTTATTCATTATTTTTTTAATAATTATAATAATATTATTGGCAAAAGGCATAGGAAGGGACATATATTTATGTTTCAACACAATTTATATCCATAAAAAAATCGAATTCCTACATGTTGTTTGGTAGTCTACAAAAAAGCGTCGACTGAAAATTGAAGGGTCGTAGTGCGGCATATTTTCTTTATAGAGCACAACTCTTAAAATCTTCTGTAGTAGTGAACTTTCGGGAAGATTTATTTTTTGTGTCGTGTAGTTTCACAATTATAAAGCGTCCAACCTCTTCAATGTTATCAATTGTCTAGACTCTAGAAAATAATTTCCTCAGGCAAGCTCCAAAAATTAAAAAAAAAACTACTACCGTTTTCTCTAGTAAAAATTGACTGCCTGAAGATTCCACAAAAACAGGGTTTATTTGCTCTGATGACAATATCACAGCTTTTTTTGGTGCTTTCGCGCTTTGACTTTCTCTTCCAGAATGTGAAAAGCTTTCCATATCTAATATATATGTAATACACATAACAGAGTTAAACATCTTTGGTTATAGTGAGCCACGGCGTTCTCTATAGAGAACGCCGTGAGTGAGCCAAATATGAAGTGCTTGATATTCTTCTTCGTAGCGATTCTTGGTCTTTACTGGCAATAAATTTAACTTTATGCGGCCGCTTCATGACGAATATTTTAATTGATATCTTCTTTAATGGCCATCACGTTTTTTTAACGAATTTACAAATAAACAACCTATCAAAGCCCAGTTTTCTTGATAAAAGCATAGGTTGTGCTAGCTTGATTTTTTTTAAACTTTTACCATGGCAAATTGACTATCAAATTCTAAAAAAATGTTGTTTTTTATAGGTAGGCATTATACACAGTAAAAAAAATCAACTCTAAGCAACATTAATTGGAGTTCATACATGTCCACACTAAATAGTGTTGTTTTATAACACTACAATTAGAGTTAATTTGTAGTCTAATTTTCCCCAAGTAAGCAAGTATGATTTAACACTATAGCACTGAGGATAAAGTAATTTTACACTGTATTAAAAAGTGTTAATTTACCTAAAATCGTGTACTTCTACACTTCCTGGGTAAAATCCCACTTTTGTTCAGTGTAAATTAACACTACTTTCGAAAAGTTCTAATTTTATAAAGGTACTTTTACTCGTTTAGTGCAAAACTTTTAGTGTAAATGAACACTATTATTTGAGTAAAACCTATTGGTGGTAGTGAATAAAACGAAAAGGTAAATAAAGAGAAACATTTATTTGGAACAAAAATCTATGACAATTATCAAAATCGGTGCCTTTTAAAATATAATTTTATATTTGAGTCGTATGGCTGGCTTAAGCAAAATGGTTCCTTAAAACGTAAAAGTTTTAGATCAATGCAATGTTTTACTGGCTGTCAACTTGTAAGCAATGAATTATCTTGAGAATTCATCAGTAATCCATTTTTCTTTTATAAAAAATGGGTGATCCCATTGGTAGAGAGGCTTCAGGCGGCTGTATGTCGGGGATTTACAACACGTGTACAAATTTTCCATAAAAATGTAAAGATTTCTCTTTACCCCCAGGTTCGTTAAAACAAGTTTTATGAAAAATGGATAAATTAAATATTTTGTGGCTTTGGCTCGTGATCGTCTTACCCAAATTTGGACCTCTACGCTATGTTTACTTACTTGTTTTATTAGATGCATTGCTTTAAGAATGGTACGTGGGAGAGTTAGGTTTATAAGAAATAAAATACAGTGGCTTAATTTACCCCAATTTAATTTACGTTAACTTTTTACAAACAAGCAAGGGGTGGCTCTTAGGAGGGTTCGGCCAAGGAAAAAGAGCCTGAGAAAAAACCCTGGTCGGCTATGAAGTAGCAAAGGAATACGCGGTCAGGCATTGTACTTTAAAAATTACGCAAATTAATGTATTGGCGATATGGCTCGATACTGCATTTAAACAAAGATTTAAAACTGAAGAATATTGGGGTTAGTTAGCCGGGCTAGGCCCAGAATGTAACGAGGTCCACAAAAGGGAGGCAACCCGCCTATTTTAGTTGAAGGGTCGGGGAAGAGCGATGCAACCCTAGATAACCTAGGGCAACCTGTTTCCCCTCACGGGAGAAAAATATTAGTTCATACAACAAAGGCCCACGCACACAAACAAATAGTACTCAAAGTTGGACAATAACGGTCAGCACTCCTGGTTAAGCACCGAGTAATTTCGCAATACATCAATAACTTTGGACTGATCATAAAACAATGCTTAACCACGTTATAGAAAAGGGTACAAAAGGATGGGTTAAGCACAAACAAAATACAAGGTTACATTTGAGCGGTACAAGCTTATTAAAATTATAGTGATAATAATAAAAGCGAGAATAGGGGTGGTAATAGCTAAAAGAAAAGGGTTAAAAATAACGTAAAATACAGCTAAACGTAATAGTAAAGGATAAATATACTCATAATAGCAAAAATCATATAATAATAATATTAACAATTTAAAAATGCACAATATTACGTTTAGTTAATTTTACTACACATTTAAATAGATTAAATATTTAGAACTAACCTTGTAGAATACACTAACAACACTTTTAACAATGATTTTAGAACAATAATTTACTTTTACAATTTTACCAAACAAAACGAACTGTACTGCACCAAATTCAAAACGCTTCTCCCTCAGTTCTCCTTTTCCAAAAACCTTCTTCGTTTACCTCTCGTGGAAATTCCTCGTCCAACGTGTATGCCACATGTGCCCTTTTTCAAGCACCAAGCATACCTCTCTTGTTTGTTTGATAATTTTTCTACCTAAATTTGAAATTTAGCTTGCCTTAAAAATAAAGTTTTATTACTTTATCCTATTTTAAAATTAGAAAAATAAAATAAATAATAACACGTATTCTAATAAATTTATACCGGGTATTTCTTTTTCGGAACCATTACAATATTAATAAAAATGTAGGTATAGGTTAATATAACAACCATTACGCTTGAAAATAAAAAGTAATTCAAGTGTGTATGTATATATATTATTAATGTTACAAGTACCCGACCTACTGCCGTAAACTATTGATATATAATATAGGTCGGGTATGGACATCCTTTTAACATATTGGTATTTATTGAGTATTAAGGCTTAAATAAAAAGGAAGTATAGTACTTACCAAAAAATAAGTATATTCCCTTATGGATTCACCGTAATTAAAATCTAACTGAACAAAAATGCCACACTTCCACAACGCGGTATCTCCGGATATGCACTGCGTAGGTAGATAGGGACCAACCAAATATTTTAAAACACATTTCGGTTATTACTAGTTTTTTCAGTCTATTTTGCCACTATTGGTGTAATTTAACTTTAAATGTGATACAATATTGTATGTGCACATATGTGCACTAGTAGTGTAAAGGAAAAAGAGCTCTTAGTAACATCAAAAGACAAAGAAATTGGCATGCACTGTAGTGTACATTTCGTCACTTTTTAACGCATTAAGTTTTTCCACCCTTTTGATTTATTTTAATAATAAATAGTGTGAATGTACCAATTAATAATGTTCATATTCTTTAAATGTGTTTAATAAAGTTAATAAGCACTAAATGCTACCTAGTGTATTTTGTAGTGTAACTTTTACACTTACAAATCAACTCTAAAATTTTTACCCTTTCGCTAAAAAATTTACACGGGCAAAATTTTTTACTGTGTTTTTTCAATAATTAGAATATCTGGAGCATATACCCAACATTCACATTTAAATATATACAAACTTTATAATAATTGAATAATAAAATGTATATTTATGTTTTTTTACTTTTTTTTCAGAATACTTTTTCTGGTATATTCTGTTCTCCAAGGAAAAAAAATAACACCCACAGTTACACAGCCATTACCAGAATTCCACCAAGCAGTAGACACTTTCAAAGATCAATATCCGATGGTATTGTCCCTGGCCACGAACGCCAATTAACTAGAAAAACATCTGAAAATATAGTTGTACCTAAAAATGCTTCTATAAAATCAATGAAAATCGAAACTTTAGCAGAAAGTAGAAGTAGCAGTTGCGGGTTCTCAATCACCAATAACGACTCTGAGTTAATGAGAAGTAATAATTGTAAAATCAAAAATGGTACGCCAAGTGTAAGCAGAGAGGGCAGTTATTTTAGTCAGATAGGCAAACAGATGATGCAGTTTCTTCAAATTGGCGGTTCCGGAAGTGCAAAGATAGACAACGATAATAATACCATAAGTAATTCAAGTTTAAAGGATATGGATGAGGTAGATTTTAACAGTGAGGATCTAGTAAACTACATGAATGAAATTAATAGGGGCATTCATAAATAACTAAGTTCAACATAAGCCTTATAAATGACGGGACTTCGGTAAATAGATTAAAATATTAAATAAAATTTAATAGTTTGGCTATTTTTAAATATTTTAAAATATGAATCAAACAATGTGAATTTTTTTTTCTAACTATGTTTTGTATTAAAATTTCCAACATTAAAAAATAATAATGACAATGAAAATTGTTTTATAAATCTGTTTAAAATTAAATCTATTTTAGAATTCCTGAAATCGCACAGAAAAATGTATTTTTTTAACTTATTTTAATTTTTTTAATTATCCTGTATAAAAGTCTTCACCCTGCGTTATCCACGAGGTTTAATAAGAAAAAAAATGTTGGCAGAAATGTACCCATCATTTTGATATTTATATACTCTTTATAAATTAATTAGTCAAAAATGACTAGTTTTTATAGTGAAAAAGCAGCCATTAATAACTGTAGTCCACAGCAATTTGTATCTCGGACATTTAACTGTCAATTCTTATATTACATAATATTATATGGAAAATTGAAAATTGACTATATCTCAAAAACTGTTCAAGTTTTATAATTTTTGACGATATTTTCGTATTCAGTTTTTAACAAAGCGTATTTATGTGGTGTTCCCAAGTAAACTTCGGATCAAAAGTTATTCCAACAAATTTTACCACATTGTTGACTTTTATAGATTTATTTTCTAATTTAATTAAAAAATCAAAGTTGTGTGACATGTTCTTTTGTACAAATCTTGTTTGAAAAGTTTTTTCTGCGTTTACCATTAGTCCATTATTCTTGCACCACATATTAAAACTTTCAGAACTCAATGTAGCTTGAATGGCCAACTCGCAAATATCCTTATGTCTTCTATAATGTTTGTATCATCTGCCTACAATACTACTTTGTTAGATTGATTTGACATGGTTAATATGTCATTAACAAATATTATAAAAAACGGCTTCAAAATTGAGCCTTGGGGTACTCCCAGTGGGACTGTTTTTCGTTCAGAGAAGTGACCTTGTATTGACACAGTTTGATATCTATTTTTGAGATAACTTTTTGCCCAATTGTATGAATTTCTACGTACTCCAATACATTCTATGTTTTTTAGTAATAATTTGTGGTCCACAGTATCAAAAGCCCTGCTTAAATCGAAAAAAAGACCCACAACATGTTCCTTACTATTAAGGGAGTTGTATATAAAAGATATTGCATCAGATATTACAGAACTGGTAATTTTATTTCTAAACCCATTTTGATTATTTGCTAGTAGATTATTACCTTCTAAATAGTCTTGTAAGCGCACATAACCCAACACATTGTAAGGTCCACTATGTATATAGCGAATGATTTTGTAACCAGGTTCGTTAAGTATACTGAAATACTTGTTTTAGCATATTCGTGATCGTCTAGTTAATTTACTTACTTTATAAAAATTAGGACTCTACGTTGTGAATTTACTTACATTGATAATAAAGTTATTTTGTAATTGGTCAGGTGAAATAAGACACAAGTATTAATTTTTAACCCCTTATTTAATTTAAATTTAAAAGAAACAACAAATACAAAAGGGGGGTCCGTTGAGTCGGAGTGCAATTCAGGGAAAAGGACCATAAAAACCCTGAGCGACTTTTAAGGTACAAACAAAACAATATATACAGGGCAAAACGAAAACATATCAAGAATTAAAAATAAACAAATAAAAACAACCAAAATACGTAAACGAAATAACAATGTTGTACTCAGTAATCATTATAAGCAATACAAGCATTTTACACTCAGGCAAAGTCATTATTAAAAGTGGTCATAAGTTTATGACAGAAGAACATAACCAATTGTTACCTTACCACGTATCCTCAAACTATTGTTAGATGATACGATTTTTAAAAGCAATTAAATAAATTACAGGTACGACACCTTTCAAATAAAGAGAGTTATAATGGAGGATAGATAGGAAAATGCTGAGTATAATGCAGATATTAAGCGAACCAATAACCACACTATGGTAAGTTGTTAGTAAAGCATCTCTGTGGTGTGGTATGGTCACCCTCTTTAACCCGATGTTCGTATACCACCTAAGTATTCAAATTCCCTCGCTTAACCTATATCCAGAAGAACAAGACAGCATTATGGCGAGGATATTTAAACACGTCCTGCACACAGAGCTTAAGTAAGGTAGTAACATCCCGTGTGTCTTTATATTACCTATGCTCAAATGTTCAAGCATGAACCGTCTCCAAGTAACCCAAAAAAAATACACAAATACAAAAAAAAACAATACAAAAAAATGAGGGTTAAGAGGAGAGCATCATTACAAAAACATACTAACATAGCCTAAAACTCTAATTAAATGAAAGTGTTGACCTGACCTTGTAATGTTTTATATAAAATATAATAAAGTACACGAAAAGTCATTTTCCAGTATTCTAATCAAAGCGCTTAGATGTACAGGTTTTTAAATCAAAGTCTTTAACCAGAAACTATCAAAAGGCTAAACGAGACCAATACCTTACCATGATATTACCTAAAAGCAACATCAAATTATGCAATAATAATAATAATAATATGTGAATGGTATCGATTAAATAAAAAAAAACAATGACTTTAACCTGAGCACAAATGCCCATAATCAAATAAAATAGCCGAGTACCTGACTATAATACACTGAGCTACATAAATAATTGATATATGAAATAATTAAAGTAGGAGTCCAATAAACGAGACAATAAAGTAAATTAAGTTGTATACAATACAATGTAAATTAAAGAAAAGTTCAAACAAAATCTCAAAAAAGCTCATGACAAGGTGAAAACTTCAATGTATCTCAGTGTAAGTGAACATAACTAGGTAGGTACTGAGAATGCATCTAACAGAGGCAATATTCTAAAAATAGACCTACTCAAAAAAATCCAGATGTGTCAAAAATTTAAACGTGAACAAAGAAATTATATAATAAAACCAATAAAATATTACTGAAAGTTACTTGACATGATCAAAATGACTCATTATAAAATGATAAATTGGTAGTGATAAATAATACTTAACAAATAGAAATAAAACAAAACTTATTTTAAAATACAAATTAAATATTTTAAATGAACTTTCAGACAGGTAGTATTTATCCCTACTGTAAAAATACAACAATTTATAAATAAAAGTACATACCAAAATACAGCAACAATTATTGTAAAAACAAAACATTTTCAACCTTCTTGTTCAAAGGTTCACTCACAAGTCCTTTCTATCTTACACCAAATCGCCCTCGATCTTACGACGGAATTCATAATATAAACATAGACACCTAATATCAACAAATCTTTTGATTTTCGAATAGACCAACAAGATTTGTCAATGTATTAGAGTTTTAAAATATAAAATAATTTTTAAAAACTTTACATTACAATTTCTGGATTATTTACTTTTAACTCGAAAACAGCGCCAAATTTGAATTTAATTATTTAAATAGCTTAGGACCCTTACAATATCAAAGTAGTTTTGCACCCCTTATTTTTAAATATGGGAATGCACTTAGATGTTTTTAAAACTGTCGGATATTCACCTGAACTAAATGACTCATTAATTAAGTAGCTCAAAGGAACTGCTTCTTTGACATATTTTAATATTTTTCCACTCACCTCATCTATACCTGGTGTTGGTTTACTTGTGGTTTTTATAATTGCTGATTTTACATCGCTTGGAATAACTGGAAATAAGTAACAACTATTCTTGCATACTTTAATATTTAAAGATTCAATAGTTGAAATATGTTATATTATAGGTTATGTACATGAATTTATTTTACAGTGACCTGTAATTTTACAGTTTTTTTTGCTGATTTTATGCTTTGCTATGCATTATTTTCGGCGGTGTATAATAATTTTTCTTTTGGACTGCGTACAAAAATGAAGTATTTCTATATATTCTTATGAGTATTATAATATAAAAATTGTCATACGCTTAAAAATAGTATATTTTATTCTTTGTAACTTATTATTTTTTACGGGATCCCGGGACCCCGGGATTTCGGGATCCCGGGATTGACACCCCTAATAATAACTTAAAGTCAAATATCATAATAAGTGGTTAATTAATTATTGTTTATTTTAAACTATATTTTATTAATTTTAAATTATATTTTCTTGGTGCAAAAATAAACAAGCTAAACTTTGTATATTTTGGTTGGACAAACATAATTGCGTATTTATTATCATTATTATTTTATGTTTAACTACCATTCTAAATATTTACATTTTACTTTAACATATTGTAATGCAAATTATCATTTTATTACATATTTCTATTTAACTTTTACTTACTTTGTTTTGTACAGTTTACATTATTTACATTATTTTGTTTATTTGATACATTGATACCAATTCTTTATTTAATATGTTAAGACTTTGTTGCAAATTCTGAGCCATGTATGGTTGGTCCTAGGATATAAAATACATTTATTGCGTTGTATGTTTCTCGATCTTAATATTTATTTAATTTTGTTAATCGATCTTTGGGGAGTAGACACTATGATGTGCGCTGAGTCTTAGCCCCTTAATTTATTAACAAAACATGTTTTATTGTTATTGGCCAATTTAGCTATGAATTATGAACATATGATGTTTGTAATGAAAGTAGCATATGCATGTGCACGAGTATACGAGGACCGTACGAAAGTGAATTAAGTTGGGGATAAGTTTTGTCTCAGTCTCAGTTTTTATTTACTTTGATTATTCTTTTACGCTACTATTTTTTACCATTATATTTTATCTTTGTCTGGATTAAAATGTTAAGTTAAGTGACAAGTGAGCTTCTGGGCGGTCCTACCACCCCTCAATTGGACGCTTTTCACTAGACAAACAAAAGAGGACAAAACATTTCAAACAATTTTTCTTATTGTGCAAACTAATATAGTGTAACGGTCAATAAAGAGTTTAGTATTAAGTGATAAGAAAGTGTTAAGTGACAAGTGTCAGCTTCTGGGTGGTCTTACCACCTGTCAATGCTTTTTACTAGACAAACAAAAGAGGAATATGCCATCTGCAATAATTGAAGTATTTTTAACCATCTGCATGACCTAACACAAAATTTGCAAAATTAAACACAACAGATACATTTAAAACCCTAAGAGAGGCACATTGCTTAAACTCTAGAAAAAAACAATAAACCCCAACCCAGTAGCTTAATAGAACGGCCCCAACAAAACAAAGTTTAAGTTTAACCCAAA